TTTTTTGGTACTGGGGATCAAACTCGGGTCCTTGCATTTGCCAGGCAGGCACTGGAACCACTGAGCTGAATCCCAGGCCCAGGAGACACATCCTTTTAAAAAAAGATAAAATAAATCCAAAAAACTCATTTGTCACTCCAACCCTACTTTATGTGTTTTTCAATATATTTTAGAAACTATTTGTGTTTTTTCTACAGTAGTTTATCAGCCAAAGAACAAAACAAAACATTGCTATTTATGTGTATAAAAAATATCTATTTTTCTTTGTGTTTTAGTTACACATTTCAAAATCTACTTAAATGTTGGGCATGGTAGTGCACACCTGTAATCCCAGCACTCAGGAGGCTGGGGCAGGAGGACTGGCATGAGTTTGAGACCAGCCTGGGTAAACAGTGGCTTCAAGGCCAGCCTGAACACATAGTGAGAATCTATCTCAAACAAAATAAACAAATGAAAAAGTATATACTCAATGCAACCAGACATGGTGGCACATGTCTGTGATCTTAGCACTTGTAAGGTTGAGGCAGGAGGATCAAGGATTGCAAATTTGAGGGCAGCTTGAGCTACATAGTGAGACCCTGTCTCAAAATATCTTAAAAATAAAAGATATCCATTGTATATTTAGCTAAATTGTGTGAGAGAAAGGACGATACTTTGCTAATTTATCTTACATCTGTAACACTTAGCACAATGCTTTGTACAGGGGCAAGAGGCATCAGTTGCTGAACTTATAGTCATGTTTAGGAGGTTAACAGAAAGTAGATCAGTTACAAACTGCGCTAAACTATTCAACTCATATTTCAACTGTCGTTAGTCAAATCCTGAGGGTTTTGTTTTGTTTTGTTTTGTTTTGTTTGGTACCAGGGATCAAACTCGGGTCCTTGTGCTTGCGAGGCAGGAGGTGGAACCACTGAGCTTAAATCCCTGGCCCTACGCTCGGTTTTTAAAATAAATTGATTAAATAATTCTTACAATTTTAACAATAATCAAAATACAACTATAACTACTTTAATAATTTCACGTAGCAGCTAACAAAAATCACTGTTGAGAAAGGATGTGATATGTTGACAAGTGGTAGAAGCAGTGGAAAAAAAATCAATATTCTAGGGGCAAAACATTCTAGGACAGTGGGGAGAAAACTGATTAAAGAAGCATCATTAATTAACTTCCTTTTCTTGGTACGGGGGTTTGAACTCGGGTCCTTGCGCTTGCAAGGCAGGCCACCGAAGCACTGAGCTAAATCCCTGGCCCATTAATTTACTTCCTGTATTAAGTAACATGTACCTTCCAACGAATCCATGGACATCATCATAACTGTCATATATTTCAACATAGTCAGCCAAGCAACCTGGGTCATCTTCAAGGTCAAAGTCCAAAAAGCTCAGGTGAATACGCTGACCGTACTTGAGTCTAATGTGCCAATAGCAGATCTGGTTATCCTCATACTCATTTGGGAAGCCTGGAGATTTAAAAACTCGCTTTGGATCTGTAAAGACACCACCACACTCCTTTGCTGAAATGGAAAGAAAGAGAAAGAGAGAAAGCAAAATGTTAGGAAACTAATTATCTTTATTTAAAAATTATATCTATAACAGACATATGAAATGGTTTGATACATAGCATTTGTATATTATATATGGATATAGCTGAAGAATACTTATATATATATTTAAGAATACTTATATTTTTTCATCAATTCTCTAAAATAAACATGGACAATTTGTGAATTTTCTTTTCTAAGATAGTCTCACCATGGTGCTAGGTTGGTCTTGAACTCATTGGTTTAAACCACCCTCCCACCTTAGTCTGCTGAGTAGCTAGTACAGGCATGTGCCCCATGCCAGGCTTATTTGTGATTTTTTTTTTTTTTTTTGAGACAGAGTCTCACTATGTAATTTAGACTGAACTAGAACTCACTATGTAGTCCAGGTTGGTCTCAAACTCACAGCCATCCTCCTGCCTCAGCCTCCCGAGTGCTGGGATTACAGGCATGCACCACTACACCTGGCTTTTAATTTGCTAACTTTTAAAGAATAAAAATAACAAGAAATGATGTATTGATTAGTTGTATTTTTGTTTACATTTTCCTTTTATCTTTTAAGCCATAATAAAACACACAATTCTTTTGCTATGCTGTATACTTCTGTGTATTTCTGTCATATATATCTCCATGTTACCAGCAGCCTAATTAAAATGGTAAAAAAAAGGCCCGGCATGGTGGTGCACGCCTGTAATCCCAGCACTCGGGAGGCTGAGGCAGGAGGATCACTGTGAGTTCGAGACCAGCCTGGGCTACATAGTGAGTTCCAGGTGACGTCTCAACTACATAGTGAGACTCTGTCTCAAAATACAAGCAAACAAACGAGAAACCAAAAAAACAAAACAAAACAACAAGATGGTAGGGAAAGGCTGGGGAAGTAGTTCATTGGTGGAGCTCCTGCTTAGCAGGCATATGAGGGACTGATTCCCAGCACTGAAAGAAGAGAAAAAAAAAAAGATGATAGGGATTTTCTGCCTTGTTATCACCATGTCTTCAGGGACGTACATAGAATAATGAATGCTATACATTCTATTTAGAGTATCATTATAGAAGTCTAGGATCATAAGGGATCTTAAAAATCATTCTAATTCAATTAAAGGAAAATTTTAATAATCATTGTATACATTTTAAAATATTTATTTGTATTTTTGGTGCTGGGGATTAAATCCAGGATTTCATGCATGCTAAGCATGGGCTCTACCACCAGCTATTCCTGTTTTCCTAATTCTGTACTATACTGGTTTTCAACTAACATTCAAAGACTGATACTTCAGGATTTTCTGGAGATATTTATGTTTCTCGTTTCAGTCTCATTTTTTTTTTTTTGGTACTAGGGTACTGGGGATTGAATTCAGGACCTTGCACTTTGCGAGGCAGGCAGCAGAACCAGTGAACTAAATCCCTATCCCTATTTATGTTTCTTGTTTTCCAAGGCATTCATTTTATAAATTTCAGTTTGTCATATGACCTGATGTAAGAAATATAAGTAAACAAAATTACAAATAAAAAATCTCTGCCAACACCAGTAGTTTGCAATATGGCTGGGAGGAAAAGCTATGCAGGGGTCCCAGTCACTTACAATTTCCTATCTGTTAGTAAATTTCTAGTATCTAGAAAAAAGTAGAACCTGGAAATTAAAAAAAAAAAGAAAAGAAAAAAGCAGTCTGGGTATTTATCTCGGCGGTGCCACTGCCTGCCTCACAAGCACAAGGGCTGGAGTTTGATCCTGGTATGAAAAAAAAAAAAAAAAAAAAAAAAAAAAAAAA